GAGAGTGTCCATGTGCTTCAAGGAGCTGACAACACCGACTTAGACATTTAAAGTGGGTCAGGGAAGTACGTCTGCAGTAACACTGTGTAGACAAATGTCTTCAGGAAATGTGTTGATGATATTCTGCATGTGGTTCTGTTGGACAGTTTCAGCACATCTGGGGAAAAGCAGCCTCTTTTAGGTTCTGCTATTCCTGTTTGTCATCTATAATCATTCAATTCACTTCAATTTATTCTTATGTATATCCCTAAAATAGAATAGTTATCTCAAAGAACTTAACAAAACTGTTGAATCCGCCAACACGGACGTAGTCAGGCCCATCTCTGTAGCCGCGGGGCAGGAAAATGTAAAAAAAAGCACATTTGCGAATGCGTTAGCTAGCATGAGATCCATTCATATAACAAGTGCATTTAAAAGTCCGCAGCATCTAAACTAGAATGGTCCAAAAAAATAATAATACTCAGTATTGACAACATCTGGAACGTAGTGTTGGACCAAGAGCCACTTTCGGACCATCCTGCAAAGATGTTTGAGAGGAAAGACAGCATATGAAGGCGTTGGGTAATTCTCTTTCCGGGTACCAGTATGTGCCTTCAGCCTCTCCGACCACCACCAGCCATCCACACACACACCAGACTCATTCTAGGCAATCTGGGTGTCACAGTTTGGCACTTTACAGCCGCAGCCGCCCCACTGTGGCACCTGCTCTTCCCAGCGGTCTCCCATCACAGTACTAACCAACCCCTGCCCTGCATAACTGATAGGATCTGGCTCTCTCAAGTACTGAAATAGATGTCTGAAGCCAGAAGGCAATAACAACCTCATTGATTGTCGAATGAACGGCCAATTCAAAGAGAGTTGAAACTATACATATTAATTTCAATATCGGTAATATCATTATAGTTTTAAAAGTATTGAATGAAGGTAATAGCATAAAAAGTAGACAAATTAAAAGGTTCATACAAAATAGTGCAATCTTTTCTTGGCCCCGCAGGACTGCACCAGTTTTGCAATATCTACAGACTTTTCTTTACGTGCTACATCTAATTTGACTTTGCGGACTGATCAATGCCATGCAAACAGCCTAGACTTAGAGACTGGCTTCTCCCTTTGGCTTTACGCTTAAAAGTCAAATGATGTTTACATTCAATCCCTCTGTGCACCCCTCACGTTAATTATTCATTTTGCATGTTGAACACAGTTATGAATAAGTTAGATCTGGACAGGAGCTTTGAGGAGGCGCACACAAAGGCAGCGAGCGGTGGACACTGACAGCTACACGACTGCTGTGAAAAGACTTGAGGGAACACTTTGAAGATTTCCAAACCTCGCCTGTTCACCCAACTCTTGTTTTGTCTGGATTTGTGCTATATTAGGACGTAGAGAAGATTCCGTTAACACACATGTGCTTCTACAAAGCTCATTTAATACAAACTACACAACGAAAACTTTGTATTACCCAATGCTTTTGTATGGCGTCTTATTTCCTCTCGAAATCGCCTTTGCAGGATGGTTCAAGATGGTCCAGATATTGTCAATCAATGCTGAGGGAAGTATCTTTGTTTTGGACCAGTCTAGTTCAGCCACTGTGGACTTTTGAATGCACTTGTTAAATGAATGGGCTGAGGCCGGCTGACGCATGCGCAACTGCGTTTTTTCACATTATCCTGATCCGCGGCCATTTTGTAAGGCAAGAGTGGTGGCACATTAGCTTCAATGGCGTCCGTTAATATTTACTGTCTATGCGTGAAATGAAAGACAAAGAGGTAGGATTGTAATTTGAGAGAAAATAACATAATTTATCGCTAAAATTTTAAGTAATATGCACTGTCTCTAATATAAACACAAACAAAGTCAATGTTTGGAAAATTAAATGTGAAAGAGGGCATTTCTTCCATTCATGGATCTATTTTTGCAGTCCCTCTATCTTGGACATTTTTGTAGATTGAAACTATTGGATCCGAGTTTACCGTGACTTACTACTGTGCCCGAGTGAGTGAAGCATTTAGCATTTAGCCTAGCTTTAGCATTTAGCCTAGTTTTAACCATCTCCTTTGCCAAACGGAGCCCGCGGGGAGTAGAGCCACAACATCTTTGCAACAATTAACTTTTCTAAACATTCCTCTTGCTCCAGCTTCAATTTCTTGAAATATGACTGGAGAAGATTTGTCTTATTGGAAAATCTTGTTCTAAAACAGTCAGAATGTGCTCAAATAAAGATAAAAAACAGTTAATTTCATGCACTTATTACCTCATTTATTATAATTTTTGGTGATTTATTAAGCTACAGCTGTCCTGAGTTGGGATGTCAGAAGAAGGGATGCCAATCAAAAGCCCGCTAGAGATAAGCGAGATGAAAATGAAATCAGTCTCCATTGTTTAAATATAGCTCTCTGCCTGAACAAGGACGCCATTTATCACCCCAACATGTATCGATTATGTTTTCCAAAATCAATAATTTGTTTCACAAGCTTTGTTGTTTTACTATATCTTTGTACAACTTGGGACATCTAATTTCTTTTATACCTGCTTACACAAGAGCCCTTTTATCCTTAAGCGTATCCTCTGCACTTTCAGCCAAAAGCAGACAAAAAGTGTGGAGAGGGGGGGGGTTACTGCATTTAAATATTAGAACTAAAAGGCAGCTCTTCAGAATATTTGTCGGAGACTTCAGTGCCTCATTACTGGTGAACGCTGATGTGTATAATGTATTATTTATTCAGTGAAGCTGTTTCAAGCCTAGTTCTGTTTACTGTATATCTTTGCAAGTCGTTCAGAAGTCGAAAGACACACTGCAGGCTATTCACATTCCATCATGCCAGATTCTGCAGTACAATGCCCTGTTGGAAATGTGGAGGCACCGGGGGCACATAGACGGTGTTGGGTGAAATGTATTCCGCTCCAGAATACATGACCTGAAATGTATTTTGTATAGTATTCAGTTATTTTGGAAAAATGGCATCTGTGTTACAAATACATAGAATAACGTTATTTTTTGTTTATTTACAAAGCTTTAAAACTGTACATCTCTAAATATTTACAACTGAAACCTTAATAATATATTTATAATACAAATATTTGTTGTTTATTGTTGTAAAATGACTAGGAGTGGTTCAACAGCTGCCATCAGAAAATATAGAATCTTCAATTTTAGGCAAGAAAACATTTATTTGTGTAGCACAATTCATACACAAGGCAGCTCAAAGTGCTGAACAAAATAAGAAACACGAGACATTCAAATCCTAAATAATCAAGGTACATAAAACAAAAAAGATAAGAATATAAAATCCTTCAGTTGAAGCAGCTGAAAAGAACAGTTCAAACGGAAATTGCAACTTTGCGTGGATTTCTTTGGATGAAAGCGCTCTAAGCACGTGTAGCTAGTTAGTTTACCCGCCGCCATTGTTGTTTACGTTTGTTTTCGGCTACTGCTCACGTCCAAATGTTCATGCGGGGAGCAGCGGGGAGGTGGGGGTCATGGCAGCAGAGAATTCACACCTTTTTCTTCACGCAAGTGTGAAACAGTGGCGGAGCTAGACTTTTAAACAGAGGGTGGCCAGGGGGTGGCAAGGGTTTTTTTGAGGGGTCCACATTTATACTATTCAGAAATTTTATTTCGCACAAAAACTGGCTAAACGATACATTTTAATCTTAATCTTGTCATTATTTTTAATATAAAGTGAACTGAGAGCACACTTGGAAACTACAAAGCAAAAAAGTGTGTTTAAATAGTAGTCTGAACAAAAAAGTGCAAAATAACATCATTCAAACATTGCATAACATTTTTCTTTTAACAAATTTAGCAAATTCCGACGGTTCTGGTGTAAAGCAGCAAAGATGTTGACAAACTCATCCATATTCAGCCCTGAGCCCTCCTTTACCCTACACTGAGGATACCAAGATGACTCAATCATCTGCCATGGTCGTTCTGAGATGGTTTTTAATAAGTTTTAGGACAGAGAAACTTATTTCACAAGACGCAGTACTGACAGGTATTAAAAAGATCTTTGCAAGCCTCAAAAGCTCATGAAACACTTTCCAAACATTCCAAAAGGACAAGGAAGTCCAACAGGGACTCTCTAATCCATTTTTTCCTCCCAAGAAGCCGCCTAGTTTGACGTACCTCATGCTTAAGGTCCTCTATATCTGACTCAAAGGTTCTGCCAAATGAAAACAGAGGCTCTTCTTTCAAAAATGTTTGGGGTCAACACTGTAAACCCGGATAAGTTGAGTTTACTTAAAAAATTTTAGGAAACTGGTTGCCCTAAAAAAATTAAGTAATGTCTGATGAAAACTTGAGTGAATTTAACTTAAAAAGATGAGTGGATGGCATCTTTATTTTGAGTTCAATACACTCAACACCATTAGTAATATTAATTACTTTGCCCCTTTATTCCACTGAAAACTTTAAGTCAAGTGCACTAACCTCCAAGATGATTAAACTTAAAAACATTACTAATATCAATTGCTTTACATATTTATTCCACTTATAACTTTAAGCTGAATACACTAACCTCCAAGTTGATTTACCTTAAAAATTCCTTTGCCCAATTACTTCACTATCTGAAGAGTAAAATAAAATCTGTTTAATAAAAGAAACCCATACAGATTAAATTAATTAAGAAAATAAAAAGCAAAATCACAAAAGTACATTCTTGTCAACATGTTTTATTAAACTTGTCTTTATCATGTTATCAAACAAAATAGGTTTGCAATCAAAATCAAATAGGACTCTTGAATGAATCAGGATGGCATTAAACTACAAAATCAATGTCAATGCTATACAACATAGGTAGCAATAGGAATTAAACTATATCAGCGCTAATAACACAAGTTATACACCAATCAGCATTGAAGAAAATGGCAAAATCAGTGGCAATGCATAAAAAACTTGCATATCAAACAGGGCCAACAGTAAACATGGTATTTTTAAAGTGCAACATTACAAATAACCAAGCACTCAGATCCAGAGCAGTGGTATACGTATTCAGAACCCTGTTTTATACAGATAGCTGATTCTTCAAAGATAGAATTTTGGGTTTCAGCTCAACTCTGCCCAGGTTTAGCATGACCTGTTGAATAAAGTGGAAGGTGCTTTTCATGCACTTGGGGTAGTCCAAGTGCAAGGCATAAATTAGTCCAAAAAGGACACAGAAAGCCTGTGGCAGGTTGGCCAGCTCCTCCATTACCACACTCCCTTCCAAGACGATGCTCACTCTGGATGGGTTGAGTTGAGGATGTTCGTCAATGCAGAGGATTCCCACTGAAGTTTCACTGTACAAGTCCTTGTCAGTTGCATCCTAACAGAAAAAGAAACGGACAAAGAGACGACATTGTAATGTCAATAATGCTGTGTTGACCACAAAAATTGAGAGAGGACAACACCAATTTTAAATCGCCATAATTTGAACTGTGCATTACAAGAGCCGTTTGAAAACCTGTGTGCTGAAATGGTTTTGTAGCTCAGCAGAGATGGAGAGCTTTGTCAGTCCCAGTCAAGCTGAAAAGTTGTGTAAAAACAATTTCCAGTACAGATGCAATGGGTTCTATGCACAGATCCACTACTTCCTGAACTTAATGCTGCTCCTTTGTTACCTGTCTTACATTATTGGACAAACTGATTAATCCAGGTGTCTGACCATTGTGACTACTCAGACACACCTGGATTATTATCAGTTTGTCCAATAATGTAAAGACAGGAAACAAAGGAGCAGCATTAAGTTCAGGAAGTAGTGGAGCTATGGATAGAGCCCATTGTTGCAGTTACAAATGTAAGACCAGTTTTGTCCTTTAATCTCAAAAAGTAAGAATTTATGTAAGGGTTTTTTATAGTCCTCAGCAAAATAAACAGAGGGGTCCCTCCCTGTGGCCCCATCTCACACTAGCTGATGGCAATTTCACAGAAAGACAAAGGTGAAAAGTTCAAATTTTTGTACAATGTTAATTTGTTTGTAATTTAGAGTAAGTAGTAGTAATTTATTTTTTACAGTAAATTAATATCAGATGGTCAAGTTGTGAATCAATAATGCAGATATTCAAAACAAATTCAGTTACTTACCGAGCAGGTTTTGAAGAACGCAGAGGGGTCATCCCCCAAGACGACTGGCAGTCCCCGAAGACAAAGGCACCTGATGTCTGTTGGCTCAGTGGTCTGGAAGATAGTGGACATAACTAAGTACACTCATACTGTATATGCTTAAATAGATTCCAGAAAGTCGCCACAATTTAATTAATTCATTACAAACTTCCTGGAGAGAAAGTAGAGAGGAGTGGGTAGAAGAACAGAAGAGTAGATATAAAAACAAGAAAAGAGCAAAGTATATAGAGTAGGATAAAAGAGGAGGAAATGGAAACGGGAGAGCAATGAAAAGTAATGAGATGAGAAGAAAGAGGAAAGAATAGAGAGGCAAGATAGGCAGTCAGCTTAGGTAGACAAGTCAGCCTACCTTTGTCTGACGTAAAAGGTCAGTTAAAACCTGTCCACTGAGGCCCTTCTTCCTGAAGAGGTCCATCAAGTTTGGCGAGAAACGGTCAAGTGCCTCAAAGAAGTTTTCTTTGAGATTTTTCCCCACCACACGGGTGAACTCGCAACACACCTGAAAATATAAAACATAGCCCAACGGTCAAATGAAAGATATTTATGACCCTCAACACAACACAATTTAGGTCACAGTGTTAACCACTTTTTGTAAATACTCAAAACAGGCATACAAACCTGGCTCTCAGAGAAAAGTGCTGGCCATCGCTGTACAATCTGGGTAATTGCAGGCTTGTCTGTCACAACTTCTTTTCTCCGAAGAGCAAAGGTCCTATCCATTTCTTTCTTAATAAGGGACCCATTTGGCTTCGCTTTCATCATTTCATTGACTAGAACCTGGCGAGCTGCTTCCAGGTTGTGGTCATCCAACCCCTCTGGATACTGAGGCAGGAAATTTATTTCTCCTTTCCTTGGCTTTTTGATGTCCTTGTTTGGAGGGTCGCCATTTGTAGAGTATCTTCCACGTTTACCACTATTGACAGTGACGTCAAGTCGGCCCAGCTTGCACATTTTGGCTCTGTAATTTCCAACCTTGAACTTCAAACTGTTCTTCCATCCAAGACAGCCAGAGGTTGACCCTGCTTCTTTAAGACATGGGTGTGTTTCTACTAAAGCTTGTGCAACAGCGGCTAAATCATCCTTTGTTGGGTATGCATCAAATGCATAGATGACCTCAGCCAATTTCTCAAGGATATCATGCTTTAGCTCTTTTGTCACTTTGAGATAGGTTCCATCCCTGAGATATAACAAGTTACCTTGACGGAGTCGGTACTCAACATCAACTGAAAATTTAGGAATTTCAAACACCTCTGGCCATGGCACACTTCTATCCAGAGAGGAGACGGACAAGATCTCGGTGTCTGCCAAGCTGATTGTGTCACTACTCAATGAAGATTGTTCAAGTGGTCGTTCAACTGGTTCAGTGACTGGTACCAATTCAACCATAGGGATGATTTTAATGGTTGGCTTATCTGGGAGGTCTGAGACATCTTCAAGGTTACACAGTTCATTGTTAAAGTCGGGGTCTTGGTACTGTAGGACAAAGTTGTAATTTGCTTGGAGAGTGCCTTTAAGCCAGCCAATCAACTCTTCAAGTGTGTCCGGTCGTGTTGTCATTGTAGACTTTCTGATGTCTCCCTCTGAGACAATAACCCTCATGATGAATTTCTCTTGCATAGCCATCTGGGGAGAAAGGATATACTCAATAATTTAGCAAATAACATATCGTTTCAGTGTTACCATAAGTTCTCCTTGGACCCTGTATGCTGATAACGGGAGGACATCATTCAGCTCCAATATCTTGACCACATATGTGGCGGGGATATCACCAGAGTGAAGTTGGTAAGATCTCAAATGCTCACAGTACCATGCGGTCATTTTGTGGCAGATGAACAGGATTTCTGTGTTAGCTGTAACAATCTTTTCAATCTGGGCAAATTCAGAGAAACCTGAGCATGAGCCAAAAGAGAGAATCATGCCTGGATGATACATGATTCCATCTATGCAGACAGATGACACATCCAGAACAGACTCTACCTTTGCAATGTCTCGAGCAAATACTCTCTGAACATTCAAAGGGAAAGAGGCAAGCAAAACTGGGGTAACCCTTGTCATTTCCACCGATGGTTTTAAAAATGTGCTGCAGTCAAGATGGTAACTGACTGCTTTCTGGTGTTTTGTAGCAAGTGTCATTGCAACAATTTTTGAAATTTTGAGCGTTCCGAATTGCTTTTTTAAAGAACTTATGTTTCCCCTCGAAGCGCATTGTCCAAACATCGCACAAGGGACCAAACTTCCTCACAAGGTAAGGATAGTGTTCCAGGTAGTGATGCTTTGGCTTTAACTTAAAACCTGGAAAAGTTGACTGCAGCAGCCGTCTGTGTTCTGTTATTTTACATTCCATGAAATGCAGTGTCTCTTCAGTATGCCTTGGTGCCACAGCCAGCTCGATTATGTCTTTAAGAAGCATCAGAATTTCCCAAGTGTCATCACCCTCAGGAACACAGTGACCAATGAGAAATGGGAGGAGCCTTATGAGACACCAGTTCTCATGGCCATTTCCACCAATGCTTCCTTTGGTGGAAAATCCCTTTCCGATCATCTGAGGGCGATCTGTTTTGTCTGTGAATGTATAATCAAAGTGTCTGATGGACTGATTAAGTGTATCTAACGTGAAATACCTCTTGCTTATCAGATTTTTAAGACACAGGGACAACTCAGGGGCACAACTCAAACAGATCATGCAAGAATTCAGGCCCGGTGACCAATGCCTTCAAAATGGACATGATCATATATCTGACAAGATGTGTCCTCTCTCACCTCCTGCCACTTGCCTAGGATACTCTGAGCGGAACAAACCTCTTGCTGACGCTAGACATGCAAACTTGTGACCGTGAAGCTCTCCATGAATCCTGCAGATTTTCAGTTATAAGACTGTGCCCTTCACACTTGCACTAGTGACTCATGTAAACACCATTTTGCTCCAATATCTTAGACATGATGTGATGTTGCAGAACTTTTGCATAACCACACTCTTTAACTGTAGACGTATTGCATAGTAGAGAGCAAGCTGGATTGAGTTGAGGGTGGACCTGTATATTTGCAGGTATGTTTAGCAATGACCCAGTACACGGCACAAGGAAACATTTTATGTTTCAGCTTTGATGTACCTAGAGGATTGGACGACTTCAAAGTCATCAATGTAAAGGCCAATAGCAATTGTGAACTCATAGCTCGCAAGAAGAGAATTTTCATTAAAGTACTGCCCATCTGCATAAAGACGTGTATTCCTGCAGTACATGGACTTTTTCTGACAAAGCTTTATCTAACACGTCAGTTTTGTTAAGCAGCTTCTGGAGCATTGGAACAATGGGGGACATATGCAAGTGGATTTCTGCCTTTTCCACAACATATTCAATAGGGTTTACCAGTGGGAATACTCTTTGCGTACATAGGCTGCTCTCTTCTTAGCAGTTCCTAAGGGTCCATCTTTGGCACAAAATGACATCATGTTACACTCTGACACAGCACTGGTAATTTCGCTCACAACTGTATCATCCACATTATCAAAGTAATTATTAGTGTAGCCCTCACTTTGTTATGCAGAAGTGGCTCTGACAGCTTATTGATTTCACAAAGCTGCTGTAAAACCACTCTTGCACAGAACTCTCTGGTATGTGCATAACTGTTTGCATCATTTAACAGAAGAGATGCTAAGTTGTGCTCTAGCTGCTTTCCTAAATCACGAATATCATTCTCACTAGCTTCTTCACTAACTCCTTTCCAACTCTGCCATGTCATCAGCTTGTGATATTTGCTCTTGTGCACCATCCTGATCATGACTTTCATAATCACAACCAATGATTTCTGACTTGAACCTCTTCCAGCTGTGTTCCTTGTGTGCTTTACTCTTGTGTGCTTTGAACGTGGAGTAGACACTGCTTTCAAAGTCACAGTCTTTATAAGGGCAACTGACTTTATGGTTGACTTTTAAGTGTGCATTATGCAGGTGACTAAAAGTAGTCAGTTTCAGTGCAAAACTCAGCAAACCCCACATGACAGACAACAAAACTTTACTTGTACATCTACAGTTGGTTGCTGTTCTGAAGTTCTGGAGTGAAGGCGGGATAAGTGTACTCTTAGTGCATTGAGGTGATTTGGAGTCTCCGTGTAGATCACTGATGAGAAGTATTGCGTGTGGCTGCATTTGACTATATGAACCGCTAGGATGGAGACAGTGAAATATACACATAGTAAATAAGAAACATACAGGAGAGGCCTTTAGAAGTACAAATTGAAAGGTAGCGAGGAGATCTATGATTAGAGATATGTAGGGGAGGAAGGAATAGGATAAATGACACAACTTGTGTATAATAGGCTTATTGGAGTTGGGGTTGACGCACATTGTAGCTATCGGAAGTCAAAATTTAGCGTAGGCGACCGCATATGCTGGCAGACAGAATAACAAATAGATCCCATAGTACACTCATTTACGGAAGCGATGATGGGGGGTACGTAAATCTGTGATATAGTAGGGTAGGGGGGGGGGGGTATGTGTGCGTCAGATACATATAATGGTGTGGTACAGCCGAAAGCAAGTACTTATTTTGTAAGTGCAAGTAGACACAACAGATGGCTTCAGATATGATTTGATTTGTAGGGGGTATTGTTTGGGGGCGTGGAGAAGGGAGAAGGATATGGAAGATGGGATCTGATAAAAACCGCACACACGTAGGTGAGATAAAATGAGATAGTCACAAATTTACTCACTAATGAACACATATTAATTCACTAGATAAAATATAAGAGGCTTTTTAACAGAAATGGCTTGTGTTGGGTGTGAGATAAGGTGAGATGTGAGTCGAGGGCGGGAGTTTAAGGTGGTGGGTTCCGCGGGTCGTCACTATTCATATAAGCTATACAGTGTCACTTTTATCTGTATATAATACAATAACTTATTGAGAGAGGTGATTATAGGTTATCTATTTCTATGTATCTACTACGAAAACAATTAATTCTTATTCTGGTAAAGATGGACTCACATTAGACTTAGGTGATGTATATTTTCGTCCTACTATTTATATTGACTCGGGGTTACGGCTTAGGTGATATGTACTGCGAGTTATAAATAAGGTGGAGGCGAACATTGAGAGACAGCAGCGTTAGTTAGGGGATTACACTATTTTTGTTATTGCAGGTTCGCTCTCGGGCCTGTGTGTGAGGTTATGGCGACACTCACTTATCTTTGGTCTTTGTACTTTATCATGTGAGTTTAAATGGGTGGAAGAGTACTGGAGTTATATTTTTGCTCAAGGACTTATATTTGGCGTGGAGAGGGTAAAGTAAAGAGCCGCAGACACGATGCTAGCAAATCTCAGAGGCGAGGAGGAACCTAGTTGCAGCGGGGAAGCTACTCTTCTATGAGTGAGGGTGGTGATAAGATGTGTCTTGACCAAGAGGATTCTCAGTTCTTTACTTCTCTAAGTGTTGTACTGGCACAACTTAGTGAGCGTAGGTAGGCATGGTGTGAGTGGTATGAGTGGTGGGGGATAGATTTCGACACTAGAGCATGCTTAGAAACAGAGATTGATAGTTATGTGTATTGTGTGAGCGAAGGTATTGTGCGTTATCACGGCGCGTCTGGCTAGTACACTCATAGTGTGAAACGTGCGCGTACCGTAGTATTGTTGTATGGTTAATTGTGAACAGAAGAGACTAATAAGTGAGGTGGAGGGTTGTTGGTCAATTATTCATATAGAACTAGAAACAGCATAGTGTTTAGTGAAGTATACACTTCAGTGTGGTGTAGCATATTATATTCAGTGTTCTGGGAAGTGGGGGGTATTGGGTATGGGGTTGTATCGGTATTAACATGCGGAAGAGTTAGGTGACACTTTTAGACTTATTTATAGGCTAGTTATTCACGGGGGTCGGGCACAGCGATAGATGGGGGTGATCATCACGGTGGAGGGGCACATTTGTCGAGAAACTAGATAAGAGTGACTGTACTC